TGTACATGTATCTATGTCTCTGCATAGATATATATTTTCATTTTCCTTGGTTGCCCCTAGGAGTGCAATTGCTGGATCATATACTAAGTACATGGTTAACTTTATAAGAAACTAATCAAGTACTTTACACAGTGGTTAGATCACTTCACATTCCCACAAACGATATTGCTCCAAACACATTATCATCATTAATTCTAGCCATTCTGTGAGTCCATACTGGTATCTTATTCTAGGCTTTTGCCTTCAAGACATTTGCCCAAACCCTAAACTACAGAGTTTGGAGAAAGAGGGCATGAAATACAACAGAAAGTCAATGTTCTCACAGGCTAAACAAGCTAAGCAGAGCCCAGATGTGGTCTCCAAATACAATTTTTCATGAAATGATACTGTGGCTCCTTCGGGAAGTGCTTTCTAGATCTAAGACAGGAAATGTCTCTCCTCAGGTCAATATCTGTGGCAATGTGTGAAACAAAATAGACAATGTGCACCGATGGCAACTATGCACATGTCAAGATGCTCAGCATCATTGGTCATCAGAGAAATGTATGTAAAAACCACTGTATCCGTTTGGATAGGCAAGATTCTGCTACAATGAAAGCAGAGCCCTCCGCCAGTTGGGAGTTGACAGCAACTATCAATCTCTTACTCACCGCAGAGAAAGCTACAAAGAATGTCACATCTCTTGGGGAAAAAAATGGATGATCTCCAAAACTATTACTTTTCTTGAGCATATCAGAGAACTGAGGTCACAAGGCAACCTGACTCCTAAAGGGGAACGAGTTCCTACAAGGAGAGAGAGGGCGAACACCACCCGCTTCGCTTCAGCAGAACATGGCTAAAAATGGCAGCCACCATACCAGTGGTGGAGAAAGAAGCAAGTCAAGTTGTGGCAGCATGGCAAAATGTGGGCTACCGTGTCAGCATGGCATAGCCGGGATTCCCAGATAACAAGGGGTGGTCACACATACGCACCAGCTCCTTCCCACGGGTCTGTTGTGAGAAAAATTGGGGGCAGGGCAGCCAACGGAAGGGGGGGACTTCTTGCTGACGCCAGAGTGCAGGAGGAGGCTGGTGGCAGCCAGGAGATGAGTAGAAGGCCTCTACTCCTTCCCCAGAAGTAGCAAAAGCAACCACCTTCAAAGCCAAAGCTTTATGCTTGTGAGAGAGGAGAATAAAACCCTTCCCTCCCAGGGCCCAGGTAAAGATCTCCGGCTCTTACCTCGGGGCAAAGAGAAAGGTCCTTTGTCTTTTTTCTGTGCTCACTCAGGAACTTAGCTGACCTGACTGGGCACCAGGTCTTGAAAGTTACCAATTACCATGGCATTGGAAACGAGTTCTGCTATTCCAGGAGGCGTTACAGTAGCTAGCTGCACTCACTTTAACTACTGTGCTGGGAAAATGAGGTTAAATATACACGGTTTCTTCTCCCTCCTTCCAGAAGCAGCAGATTGTTCCCTTTGTAGCTCCTGGTGAGTTCTGAGGGCACCTGCAGCCAGAGTCCTTGTATGACATTATTTTGAATGTTGTATACGGTAAATACTCATTTAGATTTACTCACACACTTTTCGATTTCTGGTGCTCTTGTTCCCTTCCTGAATTTCTGTGTTTCCGCATGGGATTATTTTTCTGTGCCTGAAGAATTTGCTTAAGGGTGTTCTTTTTCTCAATTTTTATGTGTACGGGTTTAGTTTGCTAATGTTGTACTTAGAATTATTGTGTTTATGTTCATGGCTGAGATTTGTAACTTTCCTTTCCTACACTGATTTACCATGTGTCAGTATGAAGATAATATTAGACACATAAAATGGGTTGGAGAGTTTCTTCTCTTAGTGATTCTCCAAAAGGATAGTAAAGCCTGTTGTACACTTTTTTTTTTTTTTTAAAGTAAACTCTACACCCGACGTAGGGCTGGACCTCACAACCCCAAGATCAAGAGTCATATGTTCTGGGCGCCTGGGTGGCTCAGTCAGCTAAGCGTCTGACTTCTGGGTGGCTTAGTTGGTTGAGTATCAGACTTCAGCTCAGGTCATGATCTTATAGTCATGTGTTTGAGCCCCAACATAGGGCTTGCTGCTGTCAGCGCAAAGCCTGCTTCAGATCCTGTTTCCCTCTCCTGCCCCTCCCCAATTTGTGCTTTCTCAAAACTAAATAAACATTAAAAAAAAAATTAAACTCACATAATGTCATATGTCAATTGTATCTCAACAAAGCTCAAAAAAGAATTGTAAAGTAACTAAAGAGTCTATTGGTTACAAATTGAAATGGTAACATTTCAGACACCCTGGGTTAAATGTTATCAAAATGAATTTCACTTCTTTTTACTTTTTTTCTTTTTTTTAAATATAGCTACTAGAGGGGCACCTGGGTGGCTCAGTTGGTTAAGCATCCAACTTTGGCTCAGGTCATGGTCTCACTGCTCGTGAGTTTGAGCCCCATATTGAGCTCTGTGCTAACAAGCTCAGAGCCTGGAGCCTGCTTCAGATTCTATGTCTACCTCTCTCTCTGCCCCTCCCCTGCTCTCTCTCTTTTTCTCAAAAATAAATATTTTTTAAAAACATTTTTAAAATGTAGCTACTAGAAAATTTCAAATTACATGTATGACTCGTATTTGTGGCTCACAGTGTATATTTATGGGACAGAGATATTTCAGCTTTTGGGGATTTTATTTTTAAGCCCCAACATGGGGCTCAAACCCACAACCCAGAGATCCAGAGCCAGCCGGGCACCCCCAATTCAGCTTTTTAAAGAGTTGTGTATAGTATTCTTATATGTATTTTGATCTCTTCCACATCAATAATTGTTCCCTTCCTCATTCTCAGTTTTAGAAATCTTTCTTTTTATCACACTTGCCAAAAGTTTATCTGTGTTTATTGGTCTTTTCCTAAAACCAGCTTTCTTGCTGGGCCTAACAATGAGTTTATAGAAAATACAGGAGACAGAGGGATGTGTGAACACATTAGAGAGAAAATCTGCAAAAACCAGAACATTCTCTCTTACACAACAATCTGGATTCTTCAGCAAATAAATGTCAGGAAAAAGAAAGAAAGGAGGAACCTAAAGATATTAAGAAACAGACTAATGTAATACTTAGATGTGCTTGGGTTCCTGACTTAAGTAAATCATCTATTAAAAATGTAAAAGAGGGGCACCTGGGTGGTTCAGTTGGTTGAGTGTCTCACTCTTGATTTTGTTTGTTTCTTTCTTTTTTTTTTAATATTTTTATTTATTTCTAGGAGAGAGAGAGAGACAGCGTGAGCAGGGGAGAGTCAGAGAGAGAGGGAGTCACAGACTGAAACAGGCTCCAGGCTCTGAGCTGGCAGTCAGCACAGAGCCCGACGCGGGGCTCGAACCCACGAACCGCGAGATCATGACCCAAGCGAAAGTCGGACGCTTAACCGACTAAGCCACCCAGGCGCCCCTCACTCTTGATTTCGGCTCAGGTCCTGGTCCCACAGTTGTGGGATCAAGCCCTGTGTCGGGATCCATGCTCAGCTTGGGATTCTCTTTTTCTCCCAAATAAATTAAAATTTGTTTAAAAAAATTTTTTTAAATAAAGAAACATTTAAAACATTAGAGAAAATTGGAAAAATTTTTTTGCTATTTTTTTTAATGTTTTTATTTATTTCTGAGAGAGAGAGACAGCGTTAGCAGGTGAGGGTCAGAGAGAGAAACATAATCTGAAACAGTCTCCAGGCTCTGAGGGCTCAAACCCACGAACCGTGAGATCATGACCTGAGCCGAAGTTGGATGCTCACCTGACTGAGCCACCCAGGCGCCCCGAGAAAATTAGGAAACTTTGAATGCTGAGTGGATATTTGATTACACTAAGGAATGATGTTTGGTTTTAGGTATAGAAGTGATAGGTGATTACGTTAAAAAAAGAGTCACTCTCTTTTTGAAATATATATTCAAATCTTTATAGGTGAGAAGTTATGTCTGGGATTTGCTTCAAAGTAATCCAGTGATGGTGGTGATGGTGGGTGGCTGGAGGTGGGGGGAATATAGATGAAATGAGGTTGACCCTGAGTTGGTAATTGTTGAGGTTGGATGATGATTACATGTAGGATTATTATACCAATCTCTCTACTTTGTGATAGACAGTAGTTGAAAGTATTCCATTATAAATCATGTAAAAGAAAAAACAGGTCCTGGGGAGCCTGGCTGGCTCAGTCGGTGCAGCATGTGACTCTTTTTTAAAAATTTGTGTGTGTGTGTGTGTGTGTGTGTGTGTGTGTGTGTGTGTGTCTTTATTTTGTTTTGAGAGAGAGAGAGAGACAGAATCCGAAGCAGGCTCCAGGCTCTGAGCTGTGAGCACAGAGCCGGGACACAGGGCTTCAAGTCACAGACCGTGAGCTCATGACCCAAGCTGAAGTCAGATGCCCAACCGACTGAGCCACCCAGGTGCCTCTGGAGCATGTGACTCTTGATCTCAGGGTGATGAATTTGAGCCCCACGTTGGGCATAAAGTCTGCTTTAAAAAAATACTAATTAGAAAATGTTTTTTAAAAATAGGTCCAAATTATACTAATCGAGTTTACTGCTTTGTTTCCTGGCTCAATGATTTGCGCTTTGGTCTTTAAAAAATTCCTTCTCTCTTTGGTTCTATTTTACTGCATTTACACTAGGTTACTTCAGTACTGTTTCATGTGGTCTTCCATTTTCCTTGTTTTCTAATAAAAGCACGTAGGTTATAACTACTCCTCTGAGAAGCACTCAGCCACATAGCACAAGTTCCCATGTGGAAGCAGAGAGTGTTCTCGCATTCATTTCTGAACAGGCTGTGATTTTAGGTTAGAACTGGTTATATGTTAGTGGCAGAGGAAAATCAAGGTAACGAGAGGTTTAAGACCGTAAGTACTAACAGCAAGGCCAGAGGACTGGGAGGAAGCAATGTGAATTTTTTACTGCCTGCTTCCTGTGATGCTTCTGCCTACGCCCAGAGCCTCTCCTGACCTAACATTCTAGTTCCAGAACCCTGCTCTGTTCCAGGCCGCCCGCGCCTTCAGCCTCAAGAGCGCCACAATGAAACTGAAGGAGGGCTCGTTTCTGTGGTACCTCTATCTGGACAAGCTATACTGCCTGTTATCCGTGAGGAACGTGAAGATCTTGGTGGAATATTTTCACCTTCTTGACGTGCATCGCAACAACACCTTGAATGGTCAGTGCTTTCAGCCACGTCCCCTCTGAGATATTACCTGGTTTGTAACTGATGTGCAGGAACACTTGCGGAGCCGGGAACTGCCTGAATAGCAGAGCCATAACTTACCCTCTCGATGGAGCAGGGAGGAATCGCCTACTGAGACTTGAGGCTGGGGGCAGTTGAGTGAGGGAGGAGAAGGTTGCTGGCTGGGAGGTGAAATCCTGGCGCCAGCTCCTTGGTGGTGTGCAGAAGGTATCATCATGCTCTGTAAGTGTCATTTTCCTCATCCATAAAGGGGCTTCTGGTGATAAAGCCCATCTCATGCTTGGGGCAAAAAAAAAAAAAAAAAAAAAAAAAAAAGAAATGAGATAATATATGGAAACTGGTAAGAACTTAGTGTTTGTTATTGTTGTAATTATTCCTGGGGCTGAGCCCCATTCAGGCATTAACCCTTGAGACCCCCTGACAAGATCCCTCATCTGTCTAATGGAAGGTTTGAATCAATAATCTGCAGGATCCCTAATTCCTGGTACTTGAGAGTGACTGCGAAGTGCTGATGATCTCGACCCTGCCTTTGAATGCATGAACTAATAGTAGACCAATTAAAATACTTTAAGTTTGCTTTGTTTTGTTTTGTTCTTAAGGACCAGGTATAAATAAAGTATCCTAACCATTCATCATGAGCTGAAGGAAATAAATGCTGTTTGTGAATAAGGTGTTTTCTCTGTAAAGATCTGTAAGAGTTTATACAATCTTTAAAACATGCTTAAAAGACATCCTTCATTTTCTCATAAGTTCATGTCTCAGTTTTTCTCTACATACAGAGGTACACACAGTAGGCCACCAAATCCCTGCACTAACCCAGACCTAGATAAGGCAAGTGTAGGGCACCTCGCCGTAAACAGAAAAGCTGGGACTGAAATCCAGGGCTTTCTGATCCCAAAGCCTAGGCTTGCTCGTAGTCTCACCAGAGTGTTTGCTGAGAAGTCTGATCTCCCTAGTAACTAAATCACTCCCTGATGACGCAATGCCTGAGAGATCAAATCATCCTCCTATCTTCTGGTCACCAAGGGACTGGATAGTGAGCTGAAAGAGTGAACATACAGCCTTTTTGCCTTCCAGGGAGGCAGGGACATAAGGCTTTGGAGGCTTGAGTGAGCCAGAGCCAGCTGCCTTTTTTTTTTTTTAAATGTTTTCTATTTATTTATTTATTTTTGAGAGCGCACATGTGAGGAAGGGTCAGAGAGAGAGAGAGAGAGAGAGAGAGAGAGAGAGGAGGAGACTCAGAATCCAAGCAGGTTCCAGGCTCCCAGCTGTCAGCACAGAGCCTGACGCAGGGCTCGAACCCACGAACTATGAGATCATGACCTGAGCCAAAGTTGGAGGCTCAACTGACGGAGCCACCCAGGCGCCCTGAGCCGATTGCTTGAAAAACACTATTTGTTAAGTAGCTACTATGCCCCACACTAAAACACTTCTCCAGGAGCAACTATACAAAAATCGCTGTGTATATACACACGGTGTGCTATTCCCACATGTTCATACTTGGTGGGGCGTGGGGAGGTAATATCAAGAGACCATCAGATTCTTCTCAAATCATGACAATGTGAGGGCGCCTGGGTGGCTCAGTCGTCAGGAGTCTGACTCTTGGTTTTGGCTCAAGTCATGATCTTGCGGTTTATGAGTTTGAGCCCCGCCTCAGGCTCCACGCTGCTGGTGCGGAGCCTCCTGGGAGTCTCTCTCTCCCCCTGTCCTGTGTACTTTCTCAAACTATTAAAAAATTGCTTAAAAAAATCATGACATTGTGATGACTGGTTCACTATGCTCTTAGCTTGCTTCAGCTGGGACTCCAAACTACGCAGATGTTTTATGTATTTATTAGAACCGTATTTTATGCAACAGATCATTTCCATAATCACTGGGTAAAGGGATGTCACCTAGTCACAAAGTTACACTTCAAAATCCCTGAGTACCACGGGGGATTTGCATATACACTCTGTAAGCCACGTGCTGTTATATAAATGTGTCCCCATGTTGGTTTCTTCCATCTTCTACTCCCTGAGACAGATGACTAGTGAGCAGAATTTCTGGGAAAAACCATTTCTGCTTTCTTAAATTACATTATTTTTTCTCTGTGATTGAACACATGTGTATTAACTAATCTGTAGAAGATATGGCATCACTGTGGAAAGAGCATGGCAGTGGTTCAGTGGGTTAAATGTCTGACTCTGATCTCCGCTCAGGTCATAATCTCACAGTTCATGAGATCGAGCCATGTATCAAGCTCTGCACTGACAGCTCAGAGCCTGCTTGGGATTCTCTCTTCCTCTTCCTCTCCCCCACTCATGCGTGCATGCTCGTTCTCACTCTCAAAATAAATAAACTTTAAAAAAATGTAAATTCAGTCCAACACCAGATTTCTTGAATCAGAATCTGTATTTTTACAAGATTCTCAAGTGAATGGTATGCTCATTACAGTTAGGGAAGTACTGAAATAGACTAGTTACTATCTGAGACTTATTATAAAAGAGTGTGATACCACTTTCCCTGTAGGGTCGTCAGGCTTTGATGAAATGTGGCATTTAAAGCACCTAGAACCTAATGTGTTCAATGATTTCTCTTTCCCCCATAGCCAAATGCATTTGCTTTATATAAGCATGAGGAATACTGACATTTTTTTTTTCTTGAGAGAGAGAGAGAATGGATGCGTGAACAGGGGAGGGGCAGAGGGGGGGAGAGAGAGAGAGAGAGAGAGAGAGAGAGAGAATCTTAAGCAGTCTCCATACTCAGTGTGGAGCCCGATCCAGGGCTCGATCCCATCCCCGAGATCATGACCTGAGCCAAAATCAAAAGTCAGGCACTTAACTGACTGGGCCACCCATGCTCCCTGGTAACTTTATAACAAGGATTTTTAAATTTCTCATTTTAATGACCTCAAGTGAAAGACCCATTCAAGATGTCAGCTTCCCCAAGAAAGTATCCTAGGTTCCCAGTGAGAATTAACCTCATCCACGTAGGAAGAATACTCCACGCCTTTTACTGGTTATGGACCCACACCTGAGACACTCAGTCGAGCACATGGGCTGAGGTGGAGAATCAAGCCCGATCTACTATCTCATTCTCCACAAATCTGGCCATGGTGCTTTGGCACCCAGCTCAAGGGCAATTAGGGTTTGGGGGACTGTGCAGGGAGCAGTGACGGAGCCAGAAACAGCGTCCTCGTGACTCTCCTCATGTCAGCAAGCTTCCAACAATTGCTACCGTTTCTGTGGCTCCCCCTGGTTTAGCATGTGGAACAGTTTCAGAGCAACCCGTCTCCACATCTCCCCACCTTAACAGATGTGCTGTTTTACCACTTCCTTCATCACGTGACGAACTGGAAACGGCCACAGATCATGATCGTGTTTAACATGCTGGACTGGAATGCGATGGGCGAGATCGGTTTTGACCAGTTCTACATGTTGGTCTGCATACTGCTGGCCCAGCAGGTGAGGAACAAGTCAGGATCTTGGGCAGAGGACGCAGAGCTTGGCGGCCGCCGCCATCTTGCTGAAGGTGAACTTGTGATGAGCTAAGACTGCATCAGGATTTGCCTTCCTTTCACTCCAGGAAGAGAAAAATGTGGAGAGAACTAGTTTTGGCTCCTGAACTGTCCGCTTATAACCGAGAAATTCCTGAGTTAGCCAGCCTCCCCCGCCTGATGCCCCTGCCCATCTTTAGCCCGCCCACAGCCTCTTTCTGAAGGTAGATCTCACCCTCTCGCTTCCCTCCTTGGCATGCCCATCCTTGCCCTTCTTTACGAGTCACCAGCAATCCCAAGTGCCCCACTCTCTCAATGATCCCTTTTCTCAGAACTTTCTGAAGGGGATGAAAGGGATATGAGAAACGCTCTTCTCTGGGTTCCCACCTTACCTTACAAATACTTCCAGTGTGCTTTTATCTCTTCCCAGTAGGGAAGGAAACTTCGGTGTTCATCATCTTAACACCTTGTCGTGATGTTTCCGAGTGGATTTTCCCTAAAAATGCCTTCTAGTGTCAAGGGTTCTATCTAGCAGCATTGATCATACAGGTGGCTTAAGTTCACCTGAAAGCAGATGCTGAAGCAGGACTTGCTGCTGTGACCCTAGAAGGCTTTCAACCCTGAGCTGCTAAGATGTCGCCTTTCGGTTTTTTCGTTTTTAAGTAGGCTTCACCCGCAGCACTGAGCCCAATGCGGGCTTGAACTCATGATCTTGAGATCAAGACCTGAGCTGAGATTAAGGGTCAGACGCTTAACTGAGTCACCCAGGTGCCCCTTTGCCTTTTGCTTTTAGTTCTCCAGGAAATGGGTAAGTGAATATACTAGTCTTAATGCAGCCAAGTTTAGAAAGTAGCACCAACAATGCTATTTATTTTATTACGTTTTTTGTCTCAACAGAACCACCTGGAAGAGCAATTTATCTTCCGCCATTCCCGGCCTGTTTTTGAGCTGCTGGATCTGGACGGGCAGCTGAGAATCGGCCCAGAAAACTTCCACATGTACAACTTTCTCTTCAATATTAGCAAACAGGAACTCAAAGAGCTCTACCACGACTTTGACATCACAGGTGACCGTGTAAGCGCAGATTCCCTAGGTGGGACCTGGCAGCCTCTCTGCCCAAAGGCAAAGACAATGTCCTGCTACCGATAATAGACACGGTGGGGAGGCGGACGGGGAAATCCTGTTGGAGCACGTCGTAGCCCTGGGATCAGAGAGAAACCCAAAGAGATTTGTAGGCCTGTGAAGAGAGAGGACCGAACAAGTGTTTTAGGAGAGAGATGCAAAATTACAGAAGGTTAGAGAAGATTTTGTTTAGAAGTTCAGAGAAGTAAATCTATAATGGCAGGAGGTGACATTGGGGAAAGGGCTTATAGAGTTAAGTACTATGGTGGGAGCACATGAGCAAACTCCTAAGAGAAAACAAGCGTGGTAAAGACCCAGAATTCTGCCTCTTTAAAGAGGGAGTCTATGTCGGGGAAGTGAGTGGGGGCTAAGGTGGAAAGAGATGGATCAGACTATGTAGAAGCTCAGATGCCAGCCTCAAGTGTCTGGACGAGATGCAGAAGTAGGAAAGTGACCCACGGTTCCTTTAGAGTCTAAAACACACTCTCTGTTCCCGGCTCCTAGATGACAATCAGACTGTAATTATGTCCTAATTACTGAGCCTCTTCAAGTTTCCAAGTTTTTAAATGAGAAATGATTACAATCCTGCAGTCATCTGAAACAGAGTATCAAATCCTTCCTGAAATAATTTTTCTTTCTTTCCCCCAACAAAAGCGTCTTAATTACAAGGAATTTAAGCTGTTTACTATCTTCACCATGGACAAATACCAGGAGAGGCAGAAAGCAGAGAAAGAGGAAGAGAAAAAGAAAAAGAAAGGGAAAAAGGCTCCGCTCACAAGGAAAATGTCATCTCAAGTTAATGTGAGCCCCAGTCTTCTTTGAATAAATAAATGGATCTGAAAGTAGAATATAAGTAATTGCAGCCGTTAACATGCCTAAAAATAAATGTAGATCGAAGTGGATTATCTTGACACTGACTTTTACACATGAAAGGTTCAAATAAGTGCTCTTCGATCAGCAAGTTGATACTTTAATAACTTCTTGACCTCACAGTACTGTAACGTGAAGTAACCACTTTGTGGACCTGTCCCAGTTCTATTGCTGCTTTTCAGATCAACACTGCTCCTGTGCTCCCTGTATATCCAAGTAATTTCAAACACTGGCTGGAGCTAAGCAGCTGAAAGACAATATGCTCTTCCAAGTGTTTGTAACTTGTCCAATACTCTCAGAATCGTTTCGATTCTCTCAATCCTTATGCTAAAATCACCCGGATGCAAGACACTTCAAATTGGCAGTTGGCAAAGTGCCTCCACCTGTAAGGAAAAGACTTTTTTAAATTTCTGAGAGACAGAGACACAGCATGAGCAGGGGAGGGTCAGAGAGAGAGGGAGACACAGAATCTGAAACAAGCGCCAGGCTCTGAGGCGGCTGTCAGCACAGAGCCCGACACGGGGCTCGAACCCACGAACCGTGAGATCATGACCTGAGCCGAAGTTGGACGCTTAACCAACTGAGCCACCTAGGCGGCCCGCAAGAATTTTATTTTTATTTATTTTTGAGAAGGAGTGTGAGTGGGGAAAGGGCAGAGAGAACGGGGAACAGAGGATCTTAAGCGGGGTCCATGCTGACAGCAGAGAGCCTGATGCGGGGCTCAAACTCACGAACCGTGAGATCGTGATCTGAGCCACAGTCTGACACTTAATCGACTGAGTCATCCAGGTGCCCCGAGAGGAAAGAATTTTAGAGGAAGCTAAGCAAAAGTGAAATCATTTCTCTTCCATAAGTCCGTAGCTCTCACGTATTTTCACTTGCCTCATGCCGAAGACAAAGACTAGAAAAGGCCAAATCAACTGTGGCAACACCTGCCGAAATGAGGTCACCTACATGAACACCCTTCACAGAGCCAGAGAACGGAAATCACAACAGTTACTCCAAAGGAGGTTATCAGCCACACTCCTCTTTTTTCCTTTTCTGTAAATAAAAGTCCTAAATCACAGCATTTGAGAGTTGGAGGTGGACACAGATATATTTGCTGCTTTGTTCAATTAATAAGAAAAGACCATTTAAAAAGTATAATCTTAAAAACTGTGAACAGGGGCCCCTGAGTGGCTCAGTCAGTTAAATGTCAGAGTCCTCATGATTTCACAGTCGTTTGCGACTCTGCGTTGGGTGTGGAGCCTGCTTGAAATTCTCCCTCTGCCCCGGCCCAGCTTATGCTCTCTCTGTAATTAAGAAACAAATACGCAAGCAAACAAATAGGCGCCTGAGTGGTCAGTCGGTGAAGCAACTGAGGTTTTTTTTTTCTTTTTAATGTTTGTTTATTTTTGAGAGAGGATGAGCAGGGGAGGGGCAAAGACCGAGACAGAGGATCTGAAGTGGGCTCCTCACCAACAGGGGAGAGCCCAGTGCGGGGCTCAAACTCACAAACTGCGAGATCATAACCGGAGCTGAAGTCAGACGCTTAACTGACTGAGCCACCCAGGTGCCCCAAGCAACCGACTTTGGGTTATCAGCTCCAGTCATGATTTCAGTTTGTGGGATTGAGCCTGGCGTCAGGATCTGCACTGTGTGGAGCCTGCTTGGGATTCTCTTTTCCTTTCTCTCTGCCCTGCCCCTGCTCATGCATGTACATGCTCTCTCTCTAAAAGTAAACAAACTTAAAACAAAAGTCATAAAATAAGAGTGATTTTTCCCCACATCAATGGGAAAAAGAATGATGAAAATCATTCAATAAGTAGAATCAGGAAAAGTGGGATTAACTACCTACCTACCCCAAAACAAGGAAACGAACAAATCTGGGCTACTACTCTATTCCTTGCACCAAAAAAATTCCAGATAATGAAACCACAAAACATATTAAAAACATGAGAAAAAAAAAATTTATAATCCAGGTGGGTAAGACTTTTTGAAGTAAAGAAGAAAACCCAGAAGCCATACAGCACAAGACTGATAGATCCAACCAAGGAAAACTTAAAATATGTGCAAGGTAAATAACACAAAACCAAAAACAAATGGTAATACATGATAGAGAATGACTAATTTCCTTAATATTTACAAATTAAGAGGATAAAGAATAAAATGCACCAGAAATATGAGCAAACAATTTGCAGGGAGAAAAAAAAGGCCTAATCTCTAGAGTAAAATGCTAAACTTCAAAGCACATATACAAAGTAGGACCACAGGACACAGATAATTCGCTGAGATTGTCAAAGGTCAAAATGCTGGTTAGGGTATATAGGAAAATAAGAGCAGTCACATTGCTATAGTGTTAAACTGGTAAAATCTATTTGGAAGGCAATTGTACTTCTACTCTCTACACGTACAGACTCTGATCTAGCAATTCTCTCTTCAGGAGTGCATTCTATAGACGGACATAGACACCAAGATAGAACTATCAGAGAAGAACATTTCACAGCAGCGTGGTTTACGGTAGCAAGATTGCAAATAGCCATACTGACCAAAATTAAGTCTGGTACCCCAGATGACAGATACTGGTGTAGCCATGAGAAGGATGATGCAGATCCAAGATTCATCATTTTAAAGAGAAATCAAAGTGCACAATACTATATGTATTTATGAAAAAAAAAAAAAAAGGTAGGGTGGGTGAATATATTCTAGGCAGAACAGTGGTTCTCATGGTGTGAACCATGACCAGCAGCGACAGCACCTGGGAATGTTCAGAAAACCAAACTACTGTGGCCCACTCAGCCCTGCTAACATGGAACCCCCAGGAGAAAAGTCCAGCCATTTATGTTTCAATATGCCATCTAGGTAATTCTGATGCATGTTCACACTGAGGAACTGCTGGCTAGAGTATCTTCAAAGATACCCAGAAAAGTGGTAAGAGTTGTTATATCCAGGGAGTAGAGAGACTTTACTTTGGTATGTTTGGATCCCCCCAATGCATATTTATCGCCTATTTTAAATATAAAATTATTGGGGGACCTGGTGTTAGGGTGCCTGCCTGGGTGGCTCATTTGGTTAAGCGTCTGGCTCAGGTCATGATCTCATGGTTTGTGGGTTCGAGCTCTGTGTTGGGCTCTGTGCTGACAGCTCAGAGCCTGGAGCCTGCATCGGATTCTGTGTCTTCCTCTCTCTCTGCCCCTCCCATGGTCATGCTCTCTCTCTCTCTCAAAAATAAACATTAAAAAACAATAGGGGCGCCTGGGTGGCTTAGTCGGTTAAGCGTCTGACTTTCACTTAGGTCATGATCTCACGGTTCGTGGGTTTGAGCCCCGCTTCGGGCTCTGTGCTGACTGCCAGTTCAGAGCCTGGAGCCCGTTTCAGAGTCTGTGTCTCCCCCTCTCTCTGACCCTCCCCTGCTCACGCTCTCTCTCTCACTCTCTCCTAAAAATGAATAAAACATTAAAAAAAAAACAATAAATAAATGAATGAATATCAAAACCTGCCGCTTTGACCCAAAACGGATAAGAAATGAACTGACTGTTTCCAGAAAAGTTCTGATTTACAGCATGACTCAAAAATAGCCAACACCCGCCCCCCCACAAAAAAACCAACAGCAGCTGGGGAGCCTGGCTGGCTCAGTCAATTGAGCGTCTGACTCCTGATTTCAGCTCAGGTTATGAGCTCATGGTCATGGAATCAAGCCCCAAGTCAGGCTCCATAGCTCTGCACGGAGCATGAAGGCTGCTTAAGATTCTCTCTCTCTTTGCCCCTCTCCCCTACTCCCACTCTAGCTCTAAAAAAGAAAAAAGAAAAAAACAAAAAAAAAACCAAAAAAGAACACAACAGCCTATTTCAGACCAAGATTTCAACGTGAAAGATAAAGCATATCTATAAATGACTATATATGGTTTGGCATAGCAGAGCCTAAGTCTGGTGATAATGAACTTGTTATTTATTGAGGTAAGGTTTTCAAAAGAAGAAAATCCTATTTAGAGGTTTTATTAGATAGAGGCAGATTACCCTTCTGTAGAGAATAACAAAAACCCAGAATAAAAGCCAAGACAAAGAGGAAAATTGAACATTTTTTTTTTAAAAAAGCACAAAAACCCTACATACTAAAATTGTACACATCAAGTATTGGTCCAATCTTATATCAATCTATTTACATTAAACAGCACCATAGTTTTCTCATCCAGGTTAGTTAAACATGCCCAGAAAATTGTTACGCAAAGTATATTTTCCTTTAAAACAAAATAAATTCTTAAGAGAGCTCAATTTCTAAACAAACAAAAAAACTTCTTACCAACCATAGATTATTGATATCACCCAATTTAACTTAAAAAAATAGGTTTGAACACTTTTCCAGTTGTCAAACTTTGAGAGATGTTGCTATTAGTCAATGTGGCCCACAAATGACAAAGAAACTCTTTGATGACAGGGGCGTTATATTCAAATGCCCTCAAACCTCCACCTTCAAATATAAAAATACTCCTTCAGAATGAACGCTGCTATCGTCTCTTGAATTTAGATTCGATTATCAGCAATCCTAAATTAAATGTAGCCACAATCTTTAAAATGATTGCATAAAGAAAGGGAAGTAGTTAAAGCTCTCAGAAACAGGATAAGTTACAATGACAGATATTATATCTAATCAGGCTATAGGAAGTTTAATACCATTTTAAACTTTACATTTAAACTAATTAGCAGTTTCATGTTGCCATTAAAATTAATAATAGTGCTTCTCATCCAAATAGGTGTGGAGGTCTGATCATTTCTCAACGGAGAGCAGTCTATGCACCTTCCTGCCTCTACTTTGCCATCTCACTGAGGCTCAGGGCTACAGCGATTATGGGATAGCCCCCTTCTCACTTCTGGAACTAACTTAGAAAAGGCTCAAATTAAATATAATCCTTGGTAGCTTTATTCCAGTCATATACGAGAGAATCAGGCGCTCTTATCGGATTTTTTAGTCTTCTCATCTAATCTGCAGATGGTTCTTAATTG